AAAATAGTGCAAAAGCACATGTCGAAAAAACACTTTATCGCGTTCCATTTTTCACAAAGCAAAAGAAATTGTTGTTTAGGAAAATAATTGTGTATGCTGACTGAATGTTATCGAGAAATGTCGAAATTAATCACAAACTACCTGTTTCGTTAGTAATGACTACTAGAACTGTTTGCATTGCCATCTAACATTTGCGGGCGGAAACTAAGTTAAGGTCCTAATATAATTAAATTTTATCCGGGGGCTCTTTTCTAAATTGTGCTATGCACAAACATACAAATATAATAACAAAGCTGGTAAATAGCGACTTACATAATACGGTGAACTTGTCCATCTCGATCATGAGCTCCTTCTGATCCCTGAACACGTATGGCAGTCCACGCTCGTCCTGTCTGGGTACTATGAATATACGAACGGTGCCTCTGCGCGGCGCATTATTGCGATTGTTAGCAACGATCCTGTACTTGTAGTCGGCGTGATTCAGATGAGTAAATCTGGCGAGCACGGGGCCGCGCGGCGTGAAATCCAAACCGCGGGATAGATCGACATCACTCTTAGTCCAGAAGGTCGACAATAGATTCGGCGATAGATTCGGGGTCTGCAGACTTATATTGGTAATCTCCACATTGGGGAAGTCCAACTATGAAAACCGGCAGGAGAACAAAAGAAGGCTAATTAAATTCGCGCTAATGTCGCCTACGAAATTATTTCTTTTCGTTCACAGATTCTCGCCCCCGTTCCCTTTATCTTTTCCTTTCTTACTGATGGAGAGTCAGTTCTTGCTTAAATAAAATTTAAAGTGAAATTTAATTAAGAGGTACGCAATACTGAAAATGAGGGTTGAGTTTAGCGCGTTAAAATTCAAGCATGTAAAGAGAGACGGCGGAAACATTCCTGCTTAATTACGAAGCGGGATTTAATTTAGCGATTTAAATTTAATTTACCAAGTCGTTATATTTCGACTGGAAGGTTCGCGTCGATGACATCGCGACGTTTCTTTGATAAATCTTGCGACAGAACGTCGCACGCGATTGCCGAATTAAAAGCCGTGGTAGGAAACAGAGACACGTTAGTTTCGAAATGTCTTGTACATTATTCACGAACGTAATATTTGTATCCGTATATTTGTGTGTGTATCCGTGTGTCTGTCTATCTGTGTGAATGTTGAAAATTAAAGTGTCACTAATTAAGTTAGTATTTAGTGAGATTACCGTTATGACGGCAAAAAGATTGATAAATTCCGACGTCCAGCGGTCTCGCCGGATTAAATGCTTTAACGGACGTTTTTATCGCCGCAGAGGCCGCGTAATTCGGTGCCACATAGTACGTGTACTTAGCGGCATTATATGCAAGAGTGAACCGATGATATATCGAGGAAGCGGGACAGCTGTGCACACCCACCTGCTGTAGGCTGTACTCGGGAAGTGTATTCTTGTGCTCTAGGAACACGTCATCGACGAAAGCGTGATATCTATAGAAGATGGGATCTCTCATAGCGGTGGCCGGCTCTCCCATGATGCCAAAAGTCTCCTGCAAATACACGAAAATATCGCGATCTTAATCTAATCGTTCACGTTAAGTTTATTAATTTTATATTAATTTGAAGGCATCACAAAAAGTAACACACTTAGCACCAAGAAATACTATGTGTCCAGAAAGAAGGAGACTTCAAGGGGATGCTGGATATCGACATAATGCAGCTTTTGTATTTTACAATGTTTTTCTATTTGGTTGCGTAGAATTTCAAATGCTTATACAGAATGAAAATACAAATGTCAATGTACGATGGAGTATCTCATGTTATATAAAAAATAAAAAGGAATTTTGTAATTAAAAGAGACTTTAAAACATTTTTAGTAATATAAAACTACTTTTATCTATTTATTGACATTTGTACTTGCACTTTGTGCACAAGTATTTGTAATTCTATGCAACTGAATGAAAAGAAAGTGCAAACTACGAAACTTATTTAGTAATATAAAACTACTTTTATCTATTCATTGACATTTGTACTTGCACTTTGTGCACAAGTATTTGCAATTCTATGCAACTGAATGAAAAGAAAGTGCAAACTACGAAACTTATGTTATATCGTTATTCAGTATCCTCTTAATATTGAAGCATTAATAGTTAACGCTAATGTTCAGAATTAAAGAGTTTCTCGAACATGACCGCATAACGACGATGATCGCACGTGCGAAACATTACCAAATAACGATGATCAGGATCATGACAGTAGGAGATGGCGACGTGGCCGAGATTGTGAAGATCTCCGTAGACATTAGGATTGGCTGACAGAATGCTAGCCTCCATGATATTACCGAGCACGTCCACACCCCCAAACTCGGTCAACGGCACCCTCTCGCCGCGGGGGTTGATGATAGAGCCGGTATGAATAGCCTCATAGATACGATCGCGCCATCTCTCCAAATCCTGCAGGTCGAAGTTCAGTTGATCCACCGGCCGGTTAATATCCTTGAGAATGGCGCCGGCGGGACGAGCGGGCCAAGTGCGACTGGCCACCAAAGAATCCAACTTGGGGAAGTAACCCTCCGGGATCGGCTCGCGCCAATTGTGGAAGCGCTTCACCCGGCCCAGTCGGTTGCACAGACGCTCGCAATTGTATCTGCGAAAAGAGAAGTCAAGCGAAACTCGCGGATAATAACTCAGGGGCTTCGGAAATTCCCATCTGTTGTGCCCTCGGGCGATATTCCGTATGTGCTCGGCCGCTCGCCAATACAGATCGATGACGCAGAAGTTGCGTAACGACAAAAAAACTGGCCTACAGTGGACGAGTATTTATTAGAAAACTTATACGAAACTACGAACGACAGTTTTAACCGGTATTATGCTCTCATGTTAATATCGATCCCAGGCGAGAGAAAAGCGCGATGTAACTCTCTAGTTCGATATCATTTTGCCCGAAATCTCTTCGCAAACATTGTAGCCGTAAGAACGAATTCACATCTTGGCAGAAAAGCCGAGAACAAAAGGGCGGAAGTAAATCAAAACTCGCGTTGGTAAAAAAAATTATCAACTGCCACCTGACCATCAGCACGAGTTTTGATTGGTTTCTGCCTTTCTGTTATCAGCGTTTCTGCTAAAGTATGAATTATGAACCTATAAACTTAATTATAAACTACACTTTAGAAAGAAAATATTCAATAAAAATTAACAGATATTTCCAGTCAAATTCCGATAAATTTTTACATCCGATCAGAATATCTAATTAAATTTAATCGAATACTTCCGATCATAATATTATTTCATCAGATAAACCAATCAAAAAATTATGAATCGATATTTCTCATCGGATGTTTCCTGATCAGATATAAAAATTTATCAGTATTTTGATCGAAAGTATCTGTTAATTATGAATTATAAATCTAAGATATATGTATATATGTATATATATAGTGTTACTAATTTATTTTTGTGTGAGAATATTTCAGCTTAACGAGCATTTAAATTCGCATTGTTACCCCTCCTTCTCTCCGCCAAATTCACAGCATAACAACGATTTGTTGCATTATTCTGTGTGTAAATGCATTTGGGAGTTCGTTAACAAAGGGCGAACATTGTCGGAATACTATACGAAATTGAGGCGAGTTTTCGCGCGAGCGTGATAACAATCGGGATCAAAATTTGATCCGATCGCCGATAGCGGCATTCCCGAGCCGGTAGAATAAGGTATCCAATCTTATCGACTTACTGGGCGTTCGCGCTGCACTTACCTAGCTTGGATCTGGTGGTGCATATAGTAGAACAGCTCGCCGCGTCGATCCTTGTTAACAATCCTGATGTCGGTCTCGAATGGATAGACCAGATGCCAGTGCCAGTGATGAAGATTGATCCCGATATCTTCTCTCCAGTAAGCCACACGATGCTCCTCGTCGAGATCCGACGCGGTGTAATCCCGTGGAATTTCGATCGGCAACTACGGCAAAGGGTTACACAAACAGTGGAATGATGAGAGCTTTTTTTCCATGCCAAAAGTCAAACTACGTATTGACAGTAATGGAATCATTTACACACGCGGTTTTATACTAAATTGCGACTATTTTCCGAACTTATCATGTTAATTATTCTATGCAATTCTTCCGTTCGGAGACGCTTAAGTACACCGAATATTTTTGGATATTATATAAACGTAATAACGCGATCTGAAATATGTAAATTTCGGAAAATTGCGGTCGAACTTCTAAACACGTTCTCATTAGCTATGCATTACGGAATTGTACGCGCCGCTATTCAAATTTTCAACACGGTTTGTCGAAGAATACGATCGGTCGTTTTATCGTCGCGTCGCAACGATTGTTTTTCATGACGCAATGTTAGATCAAGAGTATTCTCTTTCTGTTTCCATGCCCCTCCTTCTCTTTCTCTCTTTCTCTCTTTTGCGTTTAAGGGAATTATGTCTCAGAGCGCACAATAAATAAAGCTCTCTCTTTCTCTCTCTCTCTCTCTCTCTCTCTCTCTCTCTCTCTCTCTCTCTCTCTCTCTCTCTGTTTTTCTCGCGCGCGCGGCTTTTCGCCAAGTTTCGCAATTCATGTCGCGCTCATTCGACTACCATTCAAAGAATAAGCGAGTGGTTAATTATGCCGCATAATCGAGTAACAAGCATGCTGGTAATTAATGCGTCGGCGAGCAAATACCCTGGAGCCAGCCGGTACAACGTTGGCTTCCTCTCTCGCCCTGGCAAATATCCCGCTGTCGATGTACTTGTCCGGGAAAACTTCCGTTAGCGGCGGTATCGGCAGATCTTTCGTATCGGGACGATGCAGGATCGCCACCGAGAGCGCGTAGATGAACATTTGGGGATTAACGCGATCGCGACAGTAAACTGACACCGAAAGGAAGTCCTCGTACGTTCGCATACCTGTAACAACGAATTAATAGCTCATCAGCTGAAAGTAACCGGTTAATCGAGTTCGCGGCTGAAAACTCCCCGGCATTCGTTGCGCTACGTAATCCGATCGGAATTCCTCGTGCAGAAAGAAAATTTATTGCCCGATAAGTATTCGGTTGATACAAAAACTTCGGTTCGATTTTCAATAGATTGCGTCATATACGTGTTGTGTAAGCAACAATGTTAACAAGGTTCATGTATTATACATTGAGGAAAGATCGTGAACAATGATAGAAAATTACTTGGTCGATGAATTACTTGTTTCGACCGAGTGCAGTGAAATTAAATTTTAATTTGACAACTTAAATCGAACTTTTTGTTTGACTTATACTATATGTGTTGGGCAAAAGTAAGATTAATTAATTTATTTAGCACTATAGTGATTGCAAGCGTAGATGAAGCTCGCAATGCTGAAAGTAAAGCCGGAGACAAACCCAAGAAAATGTCGATGAGCCGTGAGGCTAATTTCCGATGCTTCGGGATAAACAGAGAGAAAGGTTCCCGACGTCCAAGTTGAAGGGGAACGCTCAAGTCCGGCAGACTGATCTGCTTCACTGGGATTTTCCGCGTGGTATCTTCCGCGAAACGGTTGAGTACCTCGGGAGCCACCGACTGCCGATTTTCAGGCTGCGAATTTGTCAAAGCGATAAAGTTTATACTCCATTCATTCATTCGTGAAAAGTCGGTGAAAGGCAACAACTTTATCTTAACTTAATATTAACTTATCTTGTAATCTGAACTTAGTTTTATCTTTAGAATTATAGTTTAGCCCTTTAATAAAAAAAATAAACTGTCTTAGAAAATCTCAGAAATGCTAAAAAGTATGACATTACCGTCCATAATCATATATCAATCTTCTTTAATTAATAACTAAAAACCTATGTGATTATTTGAAAAATGGTAGGAGATTCTTTTATTCAGTTCAACCTAATGTACAAATTTATGACGGCAGATGTCGCTATCATAGCTCATCTACTGTGTCGCGTGTGATCATTTGTTAATCTTCTTTAATTAATAACTCAACATTTGGCGGTTGTTTGCAAAATGGTAAAGGAGAATTTTGATGAGTTCTACATGCACACAATAGGTCATAAATTGTCAGACATTCTGTACAGTTACCTATTTAATTTATACTTTCCGCGCCGGCTTCTAATATCATTAGAATACCAAAATAGAATTGTAATTTCACAGAAATATTAAGTTAGAATTATATAAAATTATATTTCATACTTTTTAGAGCTTTTGACTTTTTAAAGACGGTTCATTTTTGTTAAAAAGTTGTTTAATTATATATTAAAAGTTTATTTTTAAAGTCAGTTATTTTAAAGCCAGTTAAAATTAAAAGTTTCGTCTTATACTTCTAGATGTATTCGAATTTTGAAGAATTAAATAATAGAATTATTCGATCTCTCCCCCTAGCTTCGAATAATGACATTAATCTAAGAACCATATAGATAACATACTGAACAAGCTACAAAAATTTCATCTTAATATCTCTAATGTTGCTTGAGTTATAAGAGAATATATAAATAAGTGAACGTACATACAGGACAAACTAAGAATCTTCTTTTTTTTTAGAGTCGATTAAAAATTTATTACGCTCACAGGTTCTGCCTCATAACTTAAGATTCTTAAATTTCGAAATCAAGACAATCGAAGGAAATTCATTCATTCTTTGTAGAAACATTTATTATAAATTTAGAGCGCACTACGCATTCAGTTACATGTTACATATATTAAGCTACAGCTCGTATAACCCAGAGCCATTTTGTTTGCAATTTCTTTCTTTATATTTCTCAAGCGATCCAACTTCGAAGACTTCGTAATACTATTATATTAATTAGAGGCACAGTTTGTGATGTACGAGATCAGGAGAGATTTGAACTCCCGAGTCAATTACGGAACGTCGAAATGAAGTCATGAAATTCAATGTCAGCGGACAATAAGAAACGTCGTTATTATAAACAAGATTATACTCACCAAGTAGTCAGCTGGTATGTCGAAGGCGACTTTCTTTTCTCCCTTAGGTACGTACGCCGGCTCCGCGGGCCGATCGAACAGATACAGAATGCCCGATTTGTTATTACTTGCCATCTCGTTCGTCAATTTGTGCGCACACTAAATTGGCAACGAGAACAACCGAGATTTCGCGAAGAGCGCTGGAGAGCGAGAGTCGAGAGGTCGCGCAACTTGTTACTGGAACAACGCACGGCGAGCCTGTGTGTCCAGATGGATGCGTCGGTGTCGCATTTATAGCAGAATCGCGACGGATACGGCGGTCTGCAGCCGATAACCATCAGCGTCTTCGGGCGACCGCAAGATCCGTCCGCACAGGTCAGTCCTCGCGTACAGCAAATACACCGTCGAGAAAGAATGAAAACAACTAAATGCTGTGGACAGATCTTCCTGTTTTTCAAGTGAATTAAGCCCGCGATAGCGACGCGGAAGCTCGGAAAAATAAACCGATGTTATTTCCGCCACTTTAACCGACAGATAATTTGGCTCCTGACCCTTTTCGATGTGTCAGTTATGTTGCGGGACGAGGGCGAGAGGGGGGGGGGAAGGGGATAAAGATATATTGATACATAAACACGTTCGCGTGGGCATGTATTTGATGTGGGTTATTAATACATCGATGAGACGTGACGTTTATAATTGAATTATGATACGAATCGTGACACGCCAATTATTTACGCACGGATATTGAATATGTTATGGCTTATGTATAATGTAACACGGGCATAATAATCCGCGATCTATGGCGATTATGATGTTTATCGACGTGCGATCGCTCTATATGCAGCATAATTTAATCCGGCTAAATTATTAATCAATTTCTAACGTTAATTGAGTTCCCTATTGTTGCTAGTAGTTATAATGACGTTGACCATAACACATAATTTTCTGTATATGCAATATATATATATATATATTGCATATAATAATACTAATAATGCTAATACATATATTATTAGTATTATTATTGTTGTGTTGCATATATATTTGTATTCATAATGTATAAAATTGATAGAAGCGGATGAAACTGATAAACCACGATAAAGCTGGAATGTAATCTTCTATGCGGAAAATTTGCTATTGAAGTTTGAGGAAAATTCTCTCTGAGGTCTGAGGAAAATAGAATCAGGAAAAGGAAGATTTATATATTGACCTTCGACGTAATTACGCTAGAACCCAAATACGTGCATGTGCCCTTTATTGACTGTGCTTTTACATTTTGTTCATCTCGCTCGGAGAGCCTCTACCCTCTCGGTACGCCGATATGTACTCACGCGTAGAGAGAAATGATAATATTCCAGTGTATTTATTCGCAGACACTAAAGACTCTCTCTAAAGCAAAATTGCTCACGGAAAATTCAATATACGATATGTTTGCAACGAGTGCGATACTTAGGGATATATCAAGGAAAAAAAAACATCTTCGAAGTTTACAAATTGTCACAGAATTAGCGTTATTATTGACGTAATTAAACACCACGGATACTAGAATCTATAACAAAACAAGGAAAAAATTCAATATCGCTTCAATACCAAGATATTAATGGTTTTCGAACAAATGTTACAAACAAATGTTATAAATTCTGGAACATTCTGTATCCTGTAGATGTAGAAAAATTTTTACAGTAACAATATAACGCAGGAAAATATTACGCGAAGCAAAAGGGATCTTTACTTACATATATAATATATATATTTTTGTTCTCTTATGGAAGATACTATGATATATTCGTATTATTAATAAAATACAATGATTTGTGTGATTAATAATGACAAAATTCTTTTTTTCTTTATTCGCTCTCTACGGATATATATATATATATTTTTTTTTTTTACTTATGCGATAACGCATATACAATATATTATTAGATGAAATTCGGAGATAAGGAGAGAAAAAGGGTTGATAATAAATAAACACAACGTGTTGCATTAAGGCTCGACACTCTGGCGACCTTATCCGCAGGCGCGCCATTGTCCCGATGATGAAATGATTTATTAAATCCGCAACCGCAACGTAAATCATAAACCTAACGTCGCTGATATTGATTACCTCGCCAGAGAGCGTCGAGGGAATAAGAAAGTTCACTGTCGTTCCCAATGAAACGTTTCGCGCGAGCCTGCGCTAATGATAAAATCGATATGATAATTATCGGGATAATCTAGGCAAAACGGTTCCGTACGATTGCTACATTCAACAGTGGAAGAAGGAAAAGAAGGAAAAAGAAAAAAAGGGAGAAAAAGAAAATAAAGTAAAGATTCTATTTAACGCATTCGTTTCCCTCTTGCGAATTCGGAACGCTTAACGTATGAATGGCCCGTATAAGATATAATTAAGCAACCCAGAGTTTGGTGAAAAACTAGAGACCCTTCAGTTAGAGTCTTGACATCACCGAGAATTTTATATGGCAATTATGCCAACAAATCCTGAGAAGCGAGCATTATGGATTGATATCATTACATATCATTACAACAAAAGTTAAAAGTATTTAGCAGTAAGAGTATCGCAATGCATGCTACATGTATATAACTATTTCCCGTCTTTCAAAATGCTTACTTTATTAACAAAATATTGTTTTGTTACGTGCAATTTCTGTTTTAAATAAAAGTTTGTTCAAATAGAGTTACCTTGTTCGAATACACTCCCCTGTGTTCTGCCATTTTCGATCACTTTAGAAACTAAACCAATCAAACAACAGGACCGAGATGTCAGGACCTTAACTAGAGGGTTTTTAGTGGAAACCAGCGCGATATATAATGCAAGAAAAAATCGGACGATAAGAAAACGCACGACGCGAAAATGACAACACCAGATGCAGATTAAATATGCAAGGTATATCATAACACGTGGGATCCCCCTCGAGGAAGGCGGATTCCGATTTGACGGCGATTTTCTCCTCGACGAGACTGACGTGCCTTCTTTTCAGGACTCTTCGAGCTCCGACGTGAAAAATATTTCGCTAAAAGCAGGCCTTTCGAACGAAAGCTCTCTTTAAACAACGCTCGCTCGAACTAAAAACGAGGAACGAGCTTCTGTCGTCTGTTTGTCGTCGTTACCGTCGACGCTTAATTCGCAAAGAGTTTGCTCACCCTCAGCTCGCGCTTGTAATTCGAGATCGACGCGGCGACATTCTCGCCGCGGGATGGTGAGTCGGCTCTTCGAAGGAAAATCCACCTCCGAGAAGAGGGTCCCGTGTTACGATATACCCTGTGTAACAACAGACATGAGGACGAGAAGGGGTAGAAAGGGAGAGTTCCTAACGCGGGTGACGCTGGCGTGAGCCGCGACAGTTGCGGGGAACGTTCACCGTCCCGAGACGGCGGCGCGCCTTCTTCTCCGGCTCCTCTTCCGCCGTCTGCCTCTCCTTCGTCTTCTTACGAGCCTGTCCCGCATCCTCGACGCGCCGTCGTCCGCGTCGTTGTTGACCATCATGCTGGCGGACGCACCCCTGCGACTTCGGCCGCGGAACAGCTGCGACGTGTACGGAGGCGGTCGGCTCGATTGCGTGCATCGCGGGTCGTGGCAGTCCACCAGGAGTCGCGAGTCGCCGATCCATTTGCCGTGGCAGGTTGAATTGGTCGATCGCGGGCCGCGCCGACTGCTGCCGGCGATGTCGGTCGACAACTTCCACCTGCCGATTCCCACGTATCTGCCCAGGCTCTCGTTCCGGCCGGGACGCTCCACGCAGATTCGCGAACCTGCGACGACTTCGATTGTACTACGTTCGCGCTTTTCCGCGTAATGGCGTGTAGTTTTGCCTGTACACGCTGTGCCACTTGACTGTGGCTCGAGTTTCGAGTTTTGCGTTTTTACTCTTTTGTACAAACAAACTGTCCTATTTGCTGTCCACTGCTGACCGTGTGTCTATGAATTGGATAGTCAATCGAGAGATCTTCCTACTGTAACTTCTCTAATCCAATAGCAACTTTATGTGAAATAATAGATGACAAAAAATAGAACTAATTTTATGTGAAATAATAGATGACAAAAAATCATAAATGTGCGATTAATTTTATACAAGAGTTATAGATAAAAAGAACCGACTTCTTTCTAGCCAGTAGCTGACAAGGAATTCTGGTTAGTTTCTGGTCAGTTCAAACGACGTTCTTGTTTCACCAGTAACTAGGCGATAAAATCAGTCAGTTTCCTGGCCAGTTTTTACTAGTTTCCAAACAAACTCATTTTTTGTATGAAATTTTGTTAAATAGTTTTCGTCATTTGATTCTCTTTATATTGTAAAATATTATATTTTATTACTCAATATAGAAGCTTGTGTTTTAAAAGGTAGAATCTTTTCTCATGCAAATTTATTTATTATTGAAATGGTTGTAGTTTTATTTTTAATTTTCTTCTCTATTTTTTCTTGCTAGTTTCTGGCTAAGAAACATTAGTCAATATTTTCCGAACTTTTACTATAAAAAGATAAATACTTTTACATAAAAAGATACATACTGCATTCAAGTAAATGTTACTTGTTTTAAGTGTTTCATAAGTTTATATATCCGCGAATTTACCAAAAAAACCCATTATAAATACCAAACTTATTTAAAATACGTTATGAACCCTAGATTTAGCATTTCCATTAAGAATTTTGAATTAAAATAAATATTCGGTTTGCTTGATAGAGGCAAAATAGACATAGAGGTAAAAAAAACTACAAATTTTTTAAATAAAATTTTATAATACTCTTGTAAAGAGAATAAGAAAGAGAATTCTTCTTCTTAATATATATTAATGAGTTTTTCCAAAATTTTCGATGAATAATTTTAAAACTATTATCAAAAAAATATTCTTTGTTGGAAATAATCATTACTCAAGAGAAGGAAAATGAACAGAGTAATTGCGTTTCTTAATAGTGGAATGATATTCAGTATAAACAGAAAAACTGCCCAGCATTCACTTATATAATTTTAGTTATTGGGCTACTTTTAAGTAATATGTTTCTACTTTTAAACTATAGAAAAAATTATTGTCTCCAGTAGTTAACTATTGTGTAACATGTAATGTAATATTCTACGTATTCATGACAAAAATGGGCATATATTGTCAAATATATAATTCAACCTTTCTTTCTTAAATTGTTATTAAAATTAAAGCAATGCATGATATATAGGAGGTAGACTGATTTTCAGTTGGAATTAAAGCAACTGAACAGACTACTATTTCGACAATTAAAACACATAAGAGAAAGAGAGGAAAGGATCAGTGTAAAAGCTTAATTAGCTTAGTTGGTTTAAACAGTTGCCACGCAAGCAGAAAGTGTCCCGGGTTCGATTCCGTAAACTCGCGCTGACGGTATGCTTTCTCTCACACTCTTATACAGCAGTTCCACACTTATCGGAAAAAATTATTTCGACGTGTTATTCTTTGCTTTCTAAATTTCCCATGCACCTTTTAAATTATTTGAACATTATAAATATATCTCTTAACCGAATATGAATATTATGGTACTTCTTTGAATCATGAATAATTATATCTTCGAGAACAATTTTCTGCGTGCAAGTATCATATTTGCATATGCCAATGATAGAGTTTAAAAAGTCTAACATCTGTGTTAATAGTCGTTACTTGAAAATTGCCTCTAATAAAATACTCAGGTTTGAATTTATAATTAAATCTAAATTTTTCAGTTAAATCACATGATACACATAACATTATGTTTTCAGTCACGATTCTACTAAAAAAACTCACAACTAACTCTAAATTAAAATGTAAGTATCTCATTTGAGATGACTTCTAAGTGGCGATTATTAAAATAAAATAGATTTAAAATAAAATAAAATTAAAATAAAAAATAAGTTAAAAACTAATAACATTTTACGTTCAATTATGTTCAATAATTAAATAAACAAGTTTTTCGCAACTTCTTGTCGTTACCAATAGTAACAAGAAACGATTAACGATAGTTACCGTTTACGAACTATATCTTTAACGAGACGTCTTGTACGTGACGATAACATACTGAGAAAGAATTTTTAAAAGGCACATTCCCATAAAATTATATAAATCAGTGAAACTAGAAGTTTCAAAAGAGGTTAATTTGTTTTAAATATTTATGTAATTTTTGAATTAATTTAATGTCTTTAATTTTTCTAGCTTCTTTTATTTTTATTCACTTTTTTATAAAAATATTTTATTTTTTATAGTTTATTATAAAAATTATTCATAATAAATTATAACAGACTCTAATGACAGACGTCGTTAGCGTACCAATATTTGTAAAAAAAAATATATATATATGTATAGTGGGTCGTAAAACAGTTTAGACATAATGAACTTCAGAGCGTAGTCGATAGTCCAATGAGAGAACTTATTTTTAACTAATTCGTCCTCTTATTGGACTATTGACTGCACTGTAAAGTTCATATCTAAACCGTTTTGCGATCTACTGTACAGAATGATGGCCCTGTATTAAGGGGATGCTGAAACTAAAAACTTTACTGACAGAATGGTGGCATTTTTCTACAAAGTTTATTATTAGTTGTACAGAATTACAAATGCTTTTACGAGATGAAATTATGTGCAAAAATAAACAGGAGCATTAAGATGTGACGAAAAAAAAAAAAAAAAAAAAAAAT